AAGGCGGGTTGATGAAAATCAGTTGACTACAATTCTTTTTTTATTTAACTATTTGGCTGTAAATGCCAGCTTGTTGCTCATGACAATAAGTATCTAATTGCTAATACCATGAGCAGTAATCAATACATTAAAATCTTTATATCTTTTTTTTCTTTAAAAAAAAAAAAAAAACCATTTGGTTTTGCCTTATAGTTAGAGATTCATATTGAACATCACTCAACCTAGACTTTATAGTTTTCTAGCAACAAAAACTAACATGACCTATCCATAGTATATGTAAACAATAAAAAATCATAAAATTACCACACTAATAATCTAACCAACAAATATTAATGTTTCAAATTATAATATACAATCCAGTTGGTGCAGTATCACAAATTCTTGACACACTGAGTCATTTTAATGAGGTGGTCCATTACAAGAGGGAAGCCTTACTGGAAAGGGAAAAAATATGAGGAACACTACTATTGTTATATGGAGTAAACAATAAGGAACCAGCTTCTATACATGTTCTGCATACAAAGTTTTTTTTTTTTTTTTTTTTTTTTTGAAGGGCATACAAGAATAATGAAGAGGATATTACATTATCAGTTTATCAGGGCCTGTATTCCTATGTTAACTAATCAACCAAGTGAGACTAAGCATAAATCATATTGTATGATTTGTATCTCATCGATACACAAAACATTATAGGCTGATCAACCACAATTACAGAAAATTGTTTGGAATTAGTAAAGTCCAAAATAGTAATAGAACCAATCTGATGTCCCCACCAGCTCTTGGGTCCGTTACAGTTTGTAGTAATAACTTTTAACTTTTAAGACCAAAGTTAATCAAAGAAGGAAAAAGTAAGCATCTTTTGGGTGGCCATGAATGAAGTCAAAATTTTAAATATACTACATGCTACTGCCTGGTCTCCCTCTGTCCTTGTTCATTGAAATTTCTTTATTCATCAACCAATATCATCTTTAATGCATGAGGAAGATCAATCTGATGTCCCCACCAGCTCTTGGGTCCGTTACAGTTTGTAGTAATAACTTTTAACTTTTAAGACCAAAGTTAATCAAAGAAGGAAAAAGTAAGCATCTTTTGGGTGGCCATGAATGAAGTCAAAATTTTAAATATACTACATGCTACTGCCTGGTCTCCCTCTGTCCTTGTTCATTGAAATTTCTTTATTCATCAACCAATATCATCTTTAATGCATGAGGAAGATCAAGATTCCTTGTCAAATCTTTAAGATATGGAGAAATTGCATTACTCCATTCAACAGTAGAAGATTACAGACTACATCGATTCTTACCATAGCCTACATGGATTTAGGAAGAAAGTCAAAAGCTTTCCACTCTAAGCACAGCCCTTACTAACCCACTAGGTACAAAAGAACACAAACTAATGCTTTTGGAATAAACAACTTTAGCTACTTCAACCGTCAAAGATACTTTACAATTGAGTTTATATTCCTATCACTTAAGACCCTATTTAATTAGAAATGTCCAAAATGCCGATATGTATGCCAAAAACAACCTACAAATGCCTTTGTGAAGGAAGGGATTCCACTCTCAAAGAATTGTCTATCAGCTTCAGATAATGTTTGGCAGCTCATTTCTACAACCTTTATACTCACTTAGTCACTCCATCCTTAAACGTAGATGGATCTAGGGATACTTTGACATGCACAAAATCAAAATAACACATGGTGCACATAAGATAATTAAGTAAAATCAAGAACTCACCAGTGGCTGCATACGTTTCTTTCCGATGGGGTATTGATATGGATTAGGTGTTGACATAGAAAATGCAGTGAACCACAGTATAAAACCCGATAGAAGATCAAGAAGTGAATCCAACGTGGACGCAATGATTGCTAAAGAACCACTTTTAACAGATGCATAAACCTTTGCAATAAAAAGAATCATATTGGCAATATTTGAAATCCTAATAGCAAACGTTTCGCTTCTAGCCAAGCTTTCCCGTTCTTCCTGCAGTAGGGGAACAGTGACCTTAGACACAAATCTGGAGGACATTTCACTTCAAAAGAGCAGAAACTAGCATAAATCATGCTAAGGTAGAGACAGCCAAACTGTTGGCATACACACCTGTGACATCCCAGGAACAAACCCACGCTCAGCCAAAGCATCCATTTCACTAAAACCCTCCAGCATTTCTACCTGCTGCTGATAGTATTCGGCTATATCATCTTCTGGCCCTTAACATATCAAAATAAATAGATATAAATAAGTACGAGTAAGAAATAAGAAAATACAAATTACATAAGAATAATTCAGCTAGAGTAGCTCAACAACAATTCAACCTTCAAGGTAAACAAGTACTAAAAAATGCTCACTCGGCATTTGCTAAACTTTCAACGCAAAGAAATTTTAAAATACAAGCCAATAAGAGAAGAAAACTGCTAAATTCTAGTATACAAACATTAAACAACCAGAAAACAAATGACCAAAGAAGTAGGCCTTACAAAACGATTGCTTCCATCATCAAATCGTATAGCTTCAGCTTGACCACTTTCAAAACACACTTCTTTTAACCATAAACTACAAAGCTCTACATAGTAGCCAACTAGAAGCAAGAAGCAACAACACAACGAACAAAAAAACTAAAGATACTAATAATCAACCGAACTTACTATTACCATACTTCGGAGCTGAGTCTAGCCTCTCCATCACAACCTGAGCTACCCGTGGTTGTTATCAGACAAGTGAAACTCGTAATAGCTAAACCAATACTGCCTAAAATTTCAGCAGCTACCACAACACAGTCTTATGCTACACCTTTTATACTTATTAAAACAGCATCTAATACCTCTACATAGGTCTAATAATTAACCTACAAAGGCTAAAATGCTAAATGTTTATCAGAATCAGACATGACCGGAATCGAACCAGAAAAGTTGAATTCCCTGTCGACCACTCGAAATTCCATAATTCAATTACCACTTATATCAATATACTACATATACAAGCACACAATATACTCAAAACTGTTAACCAAAAGGACACCAAAAAGCATAATCACTAACTATATAAGATAATTTCACATGCTATTAATACACTCAGAATCTATTCCAAAGCTAAAATAACATTATTAGAAAATCCAAAAATACAAGAATCTCACCAAAAAAAAAAATACAAGAATTATAACCAAAATAGTAAACGAATCATTCAAAACATTCAATTCCACCAAAATTCACTCTAATTAACTAAATTCAACCAAAAAAACTATAAAACATATCAAAACCAAAAGTAAATTTTCAAATTACCACAAATAATCGAACTTTTTCAAAATACTCAAAAATTAAGCTGTGAAATTACCTGAAACTCCAAGACAATCATGAAGTTTACGAGGTGGTTTTTCCTTATGCTCAGTAGACACTTGATAATCATCAAAGTTCAACCGCCATGACCGGTCACCGGTTGCGCCGCCATTGTCGTAGCTAGTGACACCAGCATCGTTAAGCAAGCGTTCATCAGAAGCGTCATCATTACGTAAGTCTAGTCTCACCATTTCCCCCATTTTTTCTCTCTCCTGTTTTTCTTCTTCACTGAGAAATAGGTAGAAAGTGAAAATTTAACCACAATGCAGGGGTATTATGGAAAATTGGAGGGTATTTTTGGAGGTTGGGCGGAAGTTTGGTGAGTGAAATTGTGAATATCGTGGGAGGCGGAAAGTTTTGAGGAGGATAGAGAAAGTGGTGGGGAAGAGTTAAAAGAGGGTGTTACTCATGCGCGTTTAAAGTTACGCGCTTTGTGATTGGTTGAGAGTATGACGTGGCGAGATGTGGTTGATGTGAATGTGAGAGAGAGAGTGGGGAAGAATTGAGAAGATACGAAATATTTTGTTTTGTTTTGTTTCTTTATTTGGAGTGTATCAAAAGAGAGTGAAAGGAGTGAAGGTGGAGACATTCATGAAGTGGGGAAAAGGGTACGTGGAAAGAGGTGAGTGGTTGATTAAGATGTGAGGGGTTTGAAGAGTGATTTAGTTTTTCATGCAAATTGTAAGTTTATGTTATTTATGTGTGGAGATGATCAACTAATTTTGTACTAGAATAATAAATTTTTGTGTTGTTGTTTGTTGAATTGTTGATGATAGTGGTAGTGGTGTATGAATGTTTTGGATAATGTGAGATGTGACAAAGATACGAAAGTAAAGAGCAAAACATATGTTATGGATAAGAAGTGGGGTATTTGTGATGAAATTAGGGTTTTTTTTTTTTTTTTTTATTATGTTTTAAAAATTTTGTTTCTATTGATAATTAGATTAAGTAGGGCGAGGCCAAAAAAATCAGCTCACTTCTCGAGCCAGGCCAAGCTTGGAGCGTTTTTTTTTTTTTTTTTTTTTTTTTGCCCAAACCCGCCCAAATGATCGGGCTTTTCGTGCCATTTGCAGGCCGAGGAAAAAAAATCAATTAAAAACGCAAATTTTTTTTGCTGAGGTTGCTACAAAACGGCATCATTTTGCTTTGTGGATAGCCCAGCTGTATTTTCCTTCTTCCTCTAAACGACATCTTTCTTCTTAGTTCCTAAATTTTACTTTCTTTCGCAATTTTGTTCTCATAACTGAGTATATATGTTATTTAATTTGTTTCCAATTGAAGCATTTAATTACTTTCCATTTAATTCAGAATTTCTCTCTCTTCTCAATTTTACCATATTTTTTTCTTCATTGTTCGAATTCGATTTTTAAGTTTCAATTCTTTTTGAATGAATTCAAATTTTCCCTTTCTTTTTTATACTACTATAAATCAAGATTTTCGATTCCTTCGATTATGCATAACAATGGAACTTGCTGCTGATTTTTCATCTAGAATTTTCCTACCTTTATGAATGAATGTAAGTTTATTTTAATTCTTCAGTTTGATTTTTGATTGAATAACTTAGTGCATTTTTATTGAATAATTTTTTCCTTTTTGATTCAATGAAGTTTATAATGTATTTAATTAATGAATTTGAGTATCTTATTGTTTCATGCACGATTATGTTGTTTAATTTTGTCGATTGATTATTTCATAGATTGAATAGTTGCTTGTTTAGTTTTTTTTTTATTGTATAGTTTTAACTTTGATTTTGTTTTTTTACTATATTTTGTATGTTTTTTATTTGATTATACATGTTTTGGCATTATAATAACATTATAATTTGGACTTTTGATTGGGCTAGTTTGGCCTATGCTGACTTTCTACTTGGGCTGCGACTCGCCTGTCGTCACCGGAGCTTTGAGGAGGAGGTCACTCTTTCTAGCTTCTGAAAGATCGTAGAGGTATTCTCTGTATTTCTTCAGTAGAATTAGGTTCCTTGTGCGTCGGCTTTTGCTGACTCTTGGACTATTCTAACAGGTCTAGTTCTACGAGTATTTCCCGTCCTTGGCACCGGCACGATCTCTACCTAGGGGGCTCCCCATTGCTTCCAGTTGGGGAGGTCGCTATCCTGGCGTGGTTGCCACCGCACACGTGAAAGAGGCGCTTCTCGCGGTTAGGATAATCTCTCTATATCGTTATTATTTTCTTTTGACCTCTTTGTAGGATTTCTTGACTTATGTTTGTCCCTTTTACGAGTCCCGATGTCTCCTACCGTCCATGGGTGGGATTTGACGATTCTACACTGGCTTACTAATACACCGCCCAGAGGCGTTATTTTTGGGGGACCTACGATGTTGTGGTGTGCTTGGGCGAGAGAGGTGTGGTTCAGCACTCCTTAGAGGTTTTCGTCGTTCTATCCCGTCCTCCACGACATATGATGGACCAGACGCGTATCTGAGCACACATGGACTCGGAGCTGATCGGTGCGGATTGGCGAAGCTTTAGCCATCCGGTCGATCTTATGCAGAGTGGCTTCTACCACGGTTGGCTCGGTCACCTTGCATTACGGAGGAGGAGGTTTTTTTTATTTGTCTTCTTAGTAGCCCCCAACGATATTAAATTGTTGGAGTTTACTTTCGCAGGCTGCAGCAGCTGCGGAGTTCGTGCCTCCACGTATGTCCATTGTGTACTAGGGGACATACGGTCCGATTAAGGAGATGGAGCCTCCTGCCCTTGAGGAGTGGCGTCTAATTTCAAGGTCGATCCCTCGATGTCAAAACTGGTTGAGTTATCTCTGGTAATTGTCAGTATGTATATCTTGATTACTTCTGAATTCATTACTTTTTGCAGTTCTCAAGTGAGGTGATGACAAGAATGGCGACAGCTATGGACGCTTTCCGGTAACAAATGGTGAGGTTGAGTCACCCAACCTCATGTTGTTGCGATGGCGACGTTGTAACGGTGTGTTTCTTGACTTTCATTGTTTTTGTTTATTTGCCACTTTATATTTGACTCACTTTATTGTTTTATTTCAGCCCGCCCCTCCGTCACGTACTCGCTTGAGGCCAGAGGGCTTGAGGGAGAAAGCTGAATCGAGGCGTCGTCACACCTCGGTCGAGATTGAGAATGGGAGAGAAGCGTCAGATCATACCGTAGTACTGGATGATTTTGGCTCTTCTTCTGAGGGGTTGGCAGTGAGGCCACCTGGTCGGGGTAGTCCGACGTTGGTTCCTTTTAGGGTCGGATGAACGTACAAGGTGGGCTCGTCTTCGCGACAGCTGCAGTATGAGGAGCAGCAGCAAGGTCAAACGGGATGGGCTGGCCCTACACTCTCGTTTCCGATGACCAGGGGTGTTGAAGATGGCCAAGGAGTGACCCCACGTATGTTGCAGTTTTATGATGCTCTGGGTATCCGTCCTCCAGCGCCATAGCCTTTGTACCTATATTGATTTATTTATGCATTTTTTAACTAGGTAGGACTTTGCTTTTTTTATGCGGATCTATAACTCGATTAGACATGATGTATATGACTGGGTTAGACATGATGTATATATACATATTAGACTTACTATGTAAATTTTATTCTTTGCATTTTATTTTTACATTTTATTATGTGCATGTGAGTGTGTGAATTTGTGACAAATTTGCGCGAAAATTTCCGTCATTTTTATCATCATTGGAGGGTATCTGAGTTTCTCCTCTAAAAAGAAAAATGAAATGGAGTTAACTAAAATAAGCATAAACTTAAAATAATTTATGGATAAATTTTTTTAAAATTTTAAATTCCCTCGAAAATCGAAGTACAAATTCGAGTCAACATCAAATTAACACATTCCACATGACGTGGCATCAAATTTTTATCGCGGCGCGATGATCTCAAATTCGAGTAGAATTCGGTTTTACGTCGATTTGTTTATAAAAAGCCCCCAAATATTCTGATTTTAGCATAATTCGAGCAAATAGCAATTTAGATTTTTGATTCCTGATCAAGTAGGAATGCCTAGGAATTTTTGTGATACAACATGAGTGGTGTTGGTCTTTGACTGCTAAGGAGAGAAAAGAGCTTGACTTTTTCCACATGGGGGGTTTATTTGGCATTAAAGGGGTAGATCTCAATATTGACTTTATTCATGTCACCTTAGATCATTGGGATTCCAATACCCATTCCTTTAGATTTGTCGATGATAAGATTAGCCCTTTGTTGGACGAATTTGGTGCAATTCTTGGTTTTCCTTCCTTAGATTTTGAGGTAATTCCCATGATATGTGAATACTACTATAAAGATTTTGAGCAATTTTTCAACCTTAAGGGCAATGATTTTAAAACCATAGTTAATGGTACCGAGGTTGATCTTAAAAAGTTTGTATCTTTTTATTTTAATATACCAAATAAAGTCGGAGTCTTTCCATGTTTATAAGAGAAGTTCCTTCCTTTTTTGCATGGTTAGCCAATATTTACTTACTAATGGTAGTATGCATACGGGTCAAGCTATTTAGCATGTGTCATGGAGCAAATAGATGCCGGGAGAAATCCCATGGCATTAACTGTTGGTGAGACAATGCTTAGCTTAGATGAATTGAAGAAAGATCCCAAAGTTCCTCTTCGAGGATCTCCAAATTTATTACAGGTTGAAAATTAATACTTTTAATTATGGAAATTAAAAATACAATTTTGTAAAAGTAATAACAATTCTATTTTATTCATGCAGGTTTGGCTAATGGAGAGACTTGGATTAATAAATCCTCCTAACAATATTGAAAAATAAACTCCAAATTGTCTTGAAAGAAGAAAGATGCGCTTTTCTTTGAAGATAGGTCGGTGGCAGTGGAGTAAAATATTTGAAGCTCAACACTTCTCTGTCAAGTGGGTCATCCCTTGGTAGAAAATTGAGAAGATGGTTGGGACCAATGCTCGACCTGCATGATGTATTCCAAGCTTATAAAAGATGACCTTTTATTTCCCTTGCAGGGTAAAAAGATAATACGATCTTGCATAAACTATCACTTCTGGGACCTTCGTAGACCCTATGAGCATCCTGTGTCCCACGACATTGAGCGTTTTGATGATTATTGGTATGCTCGTCCCTTATGGGAAGTTGTCTCCAATAGGATTAATTCCCCTTTGTCTAGGGAAGTGAAGGAATGGTTTCTTAGTAGATCCCAAAAAGACAAAAATAAAACTCAGAGTACAAGTGCAGAGAAGACTAATATTAAAGATTGTTTAGGTGACAAGGTAATCCCAGCTATAGATCGTCTGGGTTCAAAAGTTGAATTCAAGACTCATGTCATGCCTAAAAAAAGAGTGTTGCTAAAGGCAAGGAGGAAAATTGGGAGATGAACAGATTTACGTTTCTCCAAGTGTGACACAAAAAAAATGTTAAACAAATTTAACCAAGAGAGAGAAAGAGCGCGTGTTCCTTGCTCAAGCGCGTGAGCTCGAGCCGCCATGGAAGTGGGCACACACACTCAATCTTCCTCGGAAATTGTTCAGAATAAACAAAAATATACACAAAAACACAAGAATGTGAAGAAGAACAAGGAGAAAGGCAGTAATTGCGCATCAATGGAGGATGGAAGTACAAACCCAGATATCGAACATGGAGGAACAAATTATATCACCAGAAGCATCAATGGAGTAATTGGAGCAACGAGAAAGGGTTAGACAGACATTTTCGGACTGGGTTAGTGCAATAAAAGCTAGCTCGAATATCAAATCGAACATGCAAGGTAACCCAGATTTTCAACCATCTGTTTTCCATGCGAAATCTTCATCTAGGAATTTGCAAAGTAATTTTGATGATGTAGTTGAATTGAATGATGATAAAATTGCTAAGGAAAATGCTGGTGTTATTAATCCAAATGTTGATGGCATTAAAATTTATATGGATGATATTCAAGAAGAAATTGATTTTTGGAATTCATCGATTGTTTGCTATATTTGTGGGGCAAATCCTCCAATTTATGTGAATAAAGGGTTTTTCAAACGAATCTGGAGGAATTTGGGGATTGATAAAGTAGCTATGAAGGACAAGGGTATTTTCATTGTTAGGTTTGTAAATATGGAGAACAGGGACAAGGCTCTGCTTGGACCTAGAATTTTCTTTGATAATGAACCAGTATTCTTGAAACCTTGGAATCCAGACATGACAATTTCACAGGAGGAATTCAAGATAATCCCAGTTTGGGTTCAGGTGCAGAACTTGAACTTGAAATAGTGGGGAGAGAAATCATTAAGTAAGATTGCTGGTAATGTGGGGATTTGGGTGAAAATGGATCAAGCCACTGCTAAGAGAGAGAAGCTGCAATATGCTAGGGTTATGCTAGAGGTGGGGGTGGATCAACCACTACCAGAAGTGTGAGCTTTGTGAATGAGAAGGATTGCAAAGCGGCGGTCAATCTGAAATATAAATGGAGACCAGTCTTATGCTCTTTATGTAAGAAGCTGGGGCATACAGGTGAGGCATGTAGAGGCAAGAAGACGAGGATGTGGGTTTCTAAGGATAATAAGAAGCCTGCAGACCCAAAGCTAAAGGTGGATAAACCAGTTCTAGAGCCAGTCCAAACTACAGTACAAGAACAGGAAAAAGAGAATAAATTCCAAGAAGTGAAAAAGTCTTCAAGGAAATTACCTGAACCAGTCACTAAAGTAGCAATTAGTAATCCTTTTGCTGCTCTGTAGAACTGTGGTGGTGGAATTGTGCAGGACAGCCTGGTGTTATTATAGGAAGTTGATGTAGGGAGAATTACAGCTGTAGAGGTTGGAAAGACCTTTGACAACAATGGATAGAATACTATCCTGGAATGTAAGGGGAGCCAACCTGACCAGCAAGCACAAAAAGATTAAGCAATTTCTGGTTGCTCAAAATTGTGGTCTAGTTGGGCTCTTGAAAACTAAGGTGAAATCTTAGAACATGGGAAACCTTTATTTAGGGGTTTTTGATGGCTAGAATTTCACTTGTAATAATAGTTCTGTGAATAAAGGAAGGATAGTGGTTGCTTGGAAATCCCAATCTTTTGATGTGGACATAATAATGTGTATTAGTCAGATGATTCACTGTATTGTGAAGCCTAGAGGAATGAGTGAAGGTTTCACTGCACCTTCATCTATGCTTTTAACACTAAGGTTGAAAGGGAGGTGGTGGAATGATCTTAGAATTCTGAGTAGCAAGATTGATGGGGCATGGATTGCTCCAGGTGGTTTCAAATGTATTCTGGAGGTTGATGAGAGAATTGGTACTGCTGTAACTATGGATGAGATTGAAGATTTTAGAAATTGTGTTGATGACTGTAAACTATATGATATGAAATATGGGGGCAATCATTTCACATGGAATAACAAGCAAGAAGGGGTAGCAAGGGTTTTCTCTAAGATAGATAGGGTTTGGTGAATGATAAGTGAACTAATCTATTTAAGCATGCTGAGATGTATTATCATAATGAGGGTGATTTTGATCATTGTCCAGGAGTGGTCTCTGTCTTTCCAGATCAAAGGGAAGGTGAAAAACCTTTCAGATACTTTAATCTGTGGAGTAGGAAACCTGATTTCAAGGATAATGCGAAGCAGATCTGGAATAATGAAATTAAGGGTACATTGATGTACAATGTGGTCCAAAAGCTTAAATAGGTAAAGAAAATGCCTGTTGATAATAATAATCATGGTTTTATGAATGTTGAAATACAATACAATACAATGTGGAAAAAGATGAGTTAGATAAATTTCAGTTAGAGCTTCACAGAGATCCAAAGAATATAGAGTTAAAGGAAAAGGAGATGGCAGCCAGGGAAATTATGGTTACAGCTTAAGATGACTATAATTCTTACCTGAAACAGAAAGAAAAGGCTGACTAGATAACAGTAGGGGATCAGAACAATATGATGTTTCACAGATCCTTGAAGAGAAGGCAGATTTAGAACATAATTTATACTATTCAAAACATGGATGGGGAAAATTATGAGGATATTCCTAAAGCTTTTCTTAAGTATTATGGGTTCTTGCTGGGTACTGCAGCTACAACTAAGAAGACAGTCAATGAACACATTGTTAAGCAAGGTCCTTTGGTTAATGAAGAGTTGTAGGCTATGCTGTCAGCTCCTTTCAATAAAGAGGAGGTGAAATCAGCTATTTTTGGCATTGATGAGAATAAAGCCCCGGGCCCAGATGGATTTGGGAGTAACTTTTTCAAAGAATGCTGGGACATTGTGGGTTCTGACATTAGTGAAGCTATTCTTAATTTCTTAAGGACAGGGAAGATTTTGAATGAAATTAACACCACCTCCATAACCTTGATTCCTAAGACTAATTGTCCTGTGAATGTCAAGGAATTTAGACCAATTGCTTGCTGCAATGTGGTTTATAAATGTATAGTAAAGGTTTTGTGTGAGATATTGAAAAAAGTGCTCCCTAAGATAATAGCTGAGAATCAAAGTGCCTTTGTGCATAGTAGATACATTATGCATAACATTATGGTTTGTCAAGATCTAATGAGGAAGTATAATAGGAAAGCTGCCCCACCTAGTTGTCTTATCAAGCTAGATCTATGAAAGCATATGACATTGCTGAATGGGACTTTC